ATAATCACATTATCTGACTTTATCAGTTATAACAATGAGAAACAGTAAACAATTTGGCATGAATGAATGACTTATAATTGTGCTTACCTGGTCCAGATGGTCCACAGCCCCTTTGCATTTGTTGTAGTCCAGAATGATCTGTGGCTTTTTCTTTCCAAAGTCCTGGACTTGAGGCTCACGGTGCCTGGTGCTCAGCACAACAACATTTTTCCTTCTTTTGGGGACGTAAGATACGACAGCCCTGTTGCGGCTGAAGGCAAAGAGAGATGACATAACGTCTCTGTCTCGAATGTTCAGCAGCTGTGGGGGCAGCTCAGGTTTGTTCAACCGCACCGTGCCCACCAGGGCCATCCTCCTCTTCCTCAGTTCCTCTGCAAGAGGAAATGAAGTGAAAAAATTGTCGGTGGTGACTGTGTGGCCCTCCAGCCCCTCTGTCAATTCAAGCACCACCCGCATGCCTTGGTTGATCTCTCTGTTCGCTGATGCAGACTTTCCTGTGTACACTTGAAGCCTCCAGGCATAGGAGGTCTGCACATCGCAGAGGGCCCAGATCTTTAGCCCATATTTAGCCGGTTTGGAGGGCATATACTGCTTGAATGAACAGCGGCCCTTAAAAGGGACCAGCTGTTCATCTACACATATATCCCTCCCTGGGTTGAAAAATTTGGGCAGGCGGTCGCTCCATTTGGTCCATAAATCCTTTATGGGAGTTAGCTTGTCCCCCCTGTAGCGACCTGGGCGAGAAAGTCGATCATCGAATCTGATTGCCCGATTAATTTGTGCGAATCTTTTCCTTGACATGGTGGCAGGAAATAGAACACGTCCTGTCTCCCCATCCCACAGGCTGCTTGTGGTTTCATGTTGCGACCTGTACAGGCCAGCCAGGATCAGAAGCCCCATGTAGGCCCGCAGCTCCTCCTCATCTGTGTCCCTCCAGTCTTTCACTGACCTCTTGCCCTGCAGGTTTGTAAAATGCAGGATTAACTGCATAATGTCCTCCGCAAAAAAAAGACTGAACGCACTCACAGGGCTACTGATCCTTGCAATAGCATAGTGGGTTGGTCCTGGGGTCAAAATGGGTGGAGGAAAAAATGGCAGGACCTCTTCATGGGTGGGTTGCCACATGATTGCTCCATTTCTAGAGCTCCACTGATGGTCAGCCTCCAGTCCTGTCTCTTCTTCCTCTTCTTCCTCCTCCTCCTCAGACAAGCTGCAAAGCTCCTCGGTGCCTGGCAAATATTCCTCCCCTTCTTCGCTGTCAGAAAAATCTCCACTGCCTGTGCTATCTTTTTCACTATCTGAAGAGTGCAAAACTGCAGCAACAGCCTCCTCTAAACTCAGTGCGCGCTTCATGGTGTCTGTGCAGAAATGACCACTCAGACCAGGCTGCAAAGTATTCTCATAGACTTCAAAGGTGCACCTGCATAAACATGCTATACCATGCATCCAATAAGAGAGAGGAGGCTCTCTCGTTCAAAAAAAAAAAAACATAAACACAGCCCCTTTGGCCTTTGATAATCTCTCTCTCTCCCTCTCTCTCTCTCTCTCTCTCACTCACACACACACACTCACACATGCACACACACACACACAGACACACACAATACCATTTTATGGTGGTTAGATGTTTTATTGTCACGTATTTTGCATAGTAAGATAACCATGTCCTGCATTCAAAACCACTGAAAATGTCTATGGTTGTGCTGTACCTAATATTGTGCTCATTGGATCCAAA